GGTCCGGTACGGGCGCGACACTGAGGGTTGCGATCCGTTGCCAGTCACGAAAAGAGACAAAAAGGAAAAAAAAAAAAAAAACAGCTTAACTATTGTGCTGAGTTGGGCTTTGCCTGTGTTACTATTACTGCCCCTCTTTTGCTGAGGCTTCTGTGCTGGGTAGGGGAGAGACTGGCAGCAACGACAGTAGAAGGATAGAGCACATGTCCAGGAAAGAGGCGATGAGGGCTGTGGTAGGAAACTGCAGAGGAGGGGTGACAGAAATGAGATGGTGCAGATGAAATTGATAGAATATTAGGGTCTAGAGAGAAGTCCAAACTGATAACAAGGTTTGAGCCTAGATGGTGGGGAGGATGAGAGCCATCTTCAGAACTCAGGAACTCTAGAGGTAGATTCAGAAGTTAAATCATGATTCTAGCTAGAACTCAGACCGGAGCAGGCAGTTCGATACTAGGCTGCCACAAGCAGCTAGGTGTTCAGCCCAGTTGCTGACCACAAGTGGTGAGTGCCCATGCCCCTGAGGACGAGTCTACTCCTGTGGACAGCCTGTTTTTCCTGCCTGTAGTTGCCTAGCATGTTAAGTAACCTCATAAATTGCTACTACATTCCCATTCTGAAATTTAGACATAAATTAGGGCAACATAATTCATTTATTTTGAAAATCTAACTCCCTCAAAAACATTAAAATGCAGTCTGCTAAAGGCTTGTCTGTGAGGGCATCAGGCCCAAAACACAGATTGGGCACTGTCTGCTGTATTATATAGGGCAAGCTATTTTTACAGCTTGTGATTGTTACTGTAACTAGGAAACAGACAGGAAATGAATGATTTTGCAAAAGATATAGACAGTAGCTAGATGGTGCATTTGCATTTGTAGGAAGAGCAGCACCACGCTGGAACCGGCCACCCACACTGGCAGTGCCACTCTGGCAGTCAGCCAGGCCATAGACATCCGCTGGTCTTATTTGTGGGCCATTCCATTATATGTTAGCAAAAATGCTTGTCGCTCTCCCCTTCCTAATACATCTTTCTTTGGGGCCCATAATTAATGCTTCATAGTCACATTTATTACCAGTTTCATTTCCGCTCTCAATTGGGGGCAGGTGCTGTGCATCTCAAAGACAGTTCACCTGCCCTTCCCTCCCAGAAGTCTTCAGTGCTTAAAACTGTCAGTAAAATTCCTTTACTTACATCAAATTGAAACTTTGGTTGAGGTTTCTGCAAAAAATAGCACCTTTGTGAGATAGTGATCCAACTGTAGATAAGAATGGTTGGATCAGGTACTCTGAATAGTAACTGAGACCCACAGGTGACACAGGGACCATATGGGAGGCAGATGCATAAACCCTATGGAATAAATCTTTCTGAGCATTTCTTTACACATAAGAGAAGGTCTGAAAAGGATATACATCAAATTCTTAGTAGTGTTAACCTCTGAGGCTTTATACGGGGGAGATATTTCACTTTTACTTCTGAATTTGAATTTTTTATAACAAATTATAACTTAAAATTGAAAAAGAAAGCCAGTCATAATTATGCATGAAAAATCCAGAGAGGGGTAAGAAAAAATTAATTTATCTGTAATCTCACTATCCAAAGATATTTTGGTGTGCTTCCTTAAAGAGGGTTGTGGATGGGTGGCAGGAGGTGAGCAGACTTTTTAAAACAAAGTCTACTTTGTATCCTGTTACATGTAATTTTGTATCTTGCTTTACTTAATATTATATCATAAGCATTTTTCCCATGTCATGAAATTTTTTTGAAAGCATGAGTTTTAAGAACTACTCGATATATTGACCCCTTGATTAACTACTCTCTTATTGCTGACCATCGGCTACTTCAGTTTCTTTACGTCCTCATATATGCTCAAGGTGAACAGCTTTTTGACTGAATCTGTGACTATACCTCTGATTATTTCTTTAGGATAAATTTCTAGAACTAGTGTTATTCAGTTCTTTGCTTCTTCATCTGATTATTTGTTTTAATTTGCCTCAAGATAGTAAAAATGCTTTAAAAGAAAGCCTTATAGTTTTATTCTCATGCTTTTTAAATTTTTACTGTTATAAAGCATTCTGTTTGGTCAAGAAATAATAATAGATTAAAATTATTGAGTACCCAATGTTAAGGTAGCACGTAGTTTTTATATACCATCTTTGTTAATCCTCCTGAACAACTTTACTCCCATTTTACAGATTAAAGAAATTGAGCTTGATAGAAGTTAAGCAACTTACGTAAGAGGTGGAGCTGAGGTCTGAGCCTGCAGCACCTTCTCATTAACCAAACTTGCTGGGCACTTCAAATACAGTCTAAATAAGGCACACTCCTCGCCTCCAACCTCACTGGCTAGCATTGTGCTTTGGCTTGCTCCACTGCCATAACAAAATACTACAGGCTGGATGGCTTAAACAACAGAAATTAATTTTCTCATAGTTCTGGAGGCTGAGAAGTCCAAGATCAGGATTCCAGCCCATTCTGTTTCTGGTGAGGGTCGTCTTCCTGGGTTACAGATGGCCATCTTGTCACTGTCTGATGTCCTCACGTAGCCCTTCCTCTGTGCCAATGCAGGGGGTTGGAGGGAAGTAAGCTCTCTGCTGTTCTTTCTATAAGGACACTAATCCTACTGATGAGGGCCCCTCTTCCTTAGAGTCCCCATCTCCAAATACTATAGCCACATTGGGGATTAGAGCT